ATTTTTGCCCTTTATATATGTTAAACCAGATTAGTTTAACCTGTGAAATGTCCGTAAAGTATCATCATATGATTGGCTTTTAGGGCATATTTCCAACAAGCGGAAGTATCTGATGTGTGGTAGGGAAAATAGTCTTCAAAGAAGGTAACATCCCATGACACAAAAACCTTTTGGAATGTGATATCAAACAGCCTATAACCCTTTTGACCATAAGGATAGCCAATGAATATTCAACAATGTGCACTTGAGATGAGCCTGACAATTTTTGGTGGTGTGATTCGTCTTGTTGCACTTTCCGCATCGAGGCCCATTGTACATGAACTCAGCTTCCCGGCTTATGGTTTTCACGACAAACATTGCTGCCTTTGGTTGGGCAGCGCCTTTCCCACTAGAAACTTCTGCCTGTCACTCATGATGAAAAACCAAGGAGTAGGCTTTGTTCACCGTGGACAGTGGCCCAAGGACAAGGGTGTTACTGCAAACCGTGGCATACGAATCATTCAAACCCATGAGAAATTTCATGGTTTTCAAAGTCTCCACATAAGAAGCAATCTCCTTCTTTGTTTCACAACTACAAGCTGGGATTGAGCACAAGATGTCTCGTTCATCCCAAAGACTTTTTAGTTTGGTGAACTAGGAACTTACTATCATGGTGCCTTGCACACAATCTTGAATTTCATTCTCTATGTGAAAAAGTTGTACGATATTCGCATGGGAGAACCTTTCTTGTAAGTCAAGCCACATTTGTCGAGCATCCTTACAGTTGATAATGCTTCCTGAAATTTCCTTTGACATTGACCCTAATAGCCATGTCTTGACCAAATTATTGCATCAGTTCCATTGTTGCAACTTTCAGGTCTATCTTCACTTGGTTTCTTGATTGTGCCATCAATGAGCCCAAGCTTGTTCTTGACCATTAAGGCCATTGCCATGGACTGAACCCATATACTGTAATTGTCTTCCACCAACAACTATGGTACATACTGCATCATACTGCTCCGAATGGTGAATGTATAGTGGCTGGTTTGGATTTTCCTACTTTAGATGTGAGGCTATGCCTGAAGAAATTATTTGTGTTTCTGGTTTGTCACCCATGGCTGCGTTAACTTGGGTGGTGTTTTGTGTCTTGTTGTGTTTCCCACATTAACTCTCTGGTACCATAAAAAGTAATACAAAGGGACTGAATTTCTTTCTTGTCATTGATCGAACTAAGGTTACAACTTTTATATGGAGTCAATACAATCCTGATCCTACACTAAAGCCTATAAACAAGGGAAGTCAAATACCAAACAAGTAAGTAAATAACTAATTGACAATTGACAATATTTACTTAATCAATTTAAGATATCTTCCTTAACAACATAAATCTTACCCCTCATAAAATAGAGATAACAAAAACAATACACGAAAAAGAAGGGGGACATAAACCTTACCTTCTAGATACGAAAACAAGAAAGATGTAAAGAAAATAAAGGGAGACATGAAACCTAACCCCTCTAAAACCAAATGTAAGGGTCTAAACCTACAAAACAAGTTGAGCAACACCACAAAGTTAGGAAAAAAAAAAAGTGAAACAAACCTGGATGCCCAGATGCACATTAATTTGAAAAGCGGTATCCAGGCAAGTCAACACAGTCTGAAACCAATGCAGCACGAGCTGCCAGCGAAGGAGAATCATGTCAAGTTAAAGTTAGAGAAGACAAGCCCATGTTAGCAAAATTGTTCGCAAAAAAATTTCATTCTCGATATATGTGAGATGCATAGAAAGTTATTTTTCCAATGTGCTCCACACAAGTAGAACATTGCGTACGAATAGGCCAAGGATGATCAAAATCAAACGATTGAAGAGTAGAAATAACACTAGAGCTGTCATTTTCCAAACAAAGACAATGCCACCCAACTAATATGCAAACTCTACACCAATAATAATTGCAAATAATTTTGCTAAAAAAAAAAAAAATTGTGATGACCAATCCATTGGTAGAAACCACCAAGAAAATGACCATGGCAATTCTTGAAAACTTTTCCACAAGCAGCAGGATCAGAATTTTCTTTAGATAAACCATCTATATTAAGTTTAATCCAAGAAAACTAAGGGGGAGACCAAATGACAAGAAGAATAGTAAGTGCCTTGCGAGAGATAGGTCGGATCCCCAACGAAGAGATGATTCGAGTGTCAAACCCCTGAGAGTAACTAGGAATAAACTTTCCACAATGAACAATGGCAAAATTGATAGAAATGCAGAGATGATGAAAATAGATTGGTAGACCCTCAAAAATATACTTATTTCAAGTCTTCCAAATAGCCGCAATAGTAGAAAGACCCGCACAAATCCAGAAATTGTGCATTTGTTGGGAAAAGGACTTACGCACATATATATCCCAAAAAAATCCAAAGAATCCGAAAAATGCAAAGAGGTACCAAAATGGCGTGCTAGCCATCTCCATAGCTGCCTAAATATTCAACAGCTGAAGAAAATTACGACATAAACATCAAATGGATGCCAAAGAAATACCACGTCATTGAAGCGCACCCTCGATAGGAAGTTTATCATGAAAAAAGCCGCCAAGCCAAAATAGATAGTTGTGGCAGAATAAAATGTCGCCAAATAATCTTAGCCCAAGTACAATCACTATGTTTCTTTGGAATAAGCTAATAACCAAAAAAAAAAAAGGAAAACTTCCTAGTAGGCGAGGGCTCCCAAATCAATTTGTCATCCTTGACATTTAAGGGCAAAGGTAGACGTAAAATTTGTTGCACCACAGAAGGGAATGAATTTGTAAAATAATCTGGCAAAGGCCAACTTTGTGCTTCAATAACATCTGAAACCTGAGAAAAAACCTTAGGTGAAATGACCAAACATAACAAGGGCTAGTAATAGTTTCATCCAACCATTTGTCGAACTAAAAGGAAACTGACTTCCTATCACCAATAATCCAACGACTATTATCATTGAATAGGCAAAGCATGCTTAAGACCATGCCACATAGAAGACTGTAAATAGATATTTTGGTTTTTGTAAGGCGAAGGAGGAAAATCCTGACGAGCGAAAGAGCCCCACAGAGAAGAGTATTGTAAACTATCCCATCCAAAACTAAACAAAGCCGTCAAGTTCAAAGAAGCTAAATCACAAAAACCAAGCCCACCTTCAGGTTTGCAATTAAAAGTGACTTTTGTGCAAGTACACAATACTTGTATCTTTTTTTCCACAACTACATGTACACATGCATATACATACATGCGTACATACATGCACACACATGCACATACATTATATACATACGTACATAATTACATACATATCCATATATATAATACAACTTCATATATAATCACCATTCTGTAATTGGTTAGTTGATTAATTAACAGATAGTGTTATACACACACCTATTTTTACCTCCCATACACCTTTGTTAATTTTTGGTCATTGATCTTCTTCAATTCATTTGATCCGATGGCAAAAAAATAAAATATGTGTGTAAAAAGTAAAAAAGCAAGTGTGAATAGCACTACTCTTAATCTATAACAATTGTACCTCACGTGCTACACATATGTTAACACTGAAGACATTACCCTAGATCTTGCTTATAAGGTTTGTGCCTTAGTGTTTTTTTTTTTTTTTTCCTAAAAGGGGGACAACTTGTGGCAAGTTACAGTTATCCATCCCTTTAAGGGCCAGGAAGACTCACAGAGGCATTTTAGCCTCCACTGACCACAAGTATGGCTTTCACACCAACATCAGCTTTTGAACCCGACACATCCAAATTTTAATTTGAAGAAAACCTTGCAATCCATCCTTGAGATATACACGTGTCAACCTTGCAATCCGCCCTTGAGATATATACGTGTCTAAATCTGTAACGATTTCGTTTTGGTTATTTATTATTTATTTTTGCATTCGAGATAGGGACTCTCAAAGATCATTAAGCATCATGAAAACTATAAGTGTTGACGAGGCATTCGTTACTATGATGAGCATGAAACTAGTGCCAAGAATTCATTTAACGCGATTGTTTATAAGCAACCTCCACTACTTGTGAATATAAGTTCATAACTATTAGGTGAAACTCACTTATATTCTAGCGTCATATTCATGCATGAAAATTAAGCGTGCACTCTCAATAAACATACATAAATAAGTTATCAATCAAGCAGTTAAACAAATTGAATCCACAACTCATGAAATTCCGACCAAAGGTAATCAATTCATATTGCAAGCATAAACATGGTTTCGAATCACCCCCTAGCAACTAGGGATTTAGCCTCTCATGTTCACAGAAAGAGAAACAAAATTGAATTTAAACATAAAGAACAAAGGATTGATTACACCTAGAACACACAACGAATCCACTTGAATTTCTGTGCGTCCAAGCTCCTCTTTCTCCTTCTCCTTGTTGCGGCAGAGATGGTGTGTGATGAGTTTGGATGATTTTCTGGGTTATAGATGGGTTTAGGGTGGTATGGTGGTGCGGCAAGGAGTGTGGATGGTATGTTGATGTGTGGAATGGAGTGGGGAATGGTTGGAGTGGCTGCAATGGAGGAGAAAAGGTGCAGAAGATGGACTTTCAAATTTTTGTTTTCATTCTTTGTTCTTTATTTCTTGCCATCCCTCTCAAAGTTTCACCATTTTTCTTCATTCCTCATTTTCAATATTTTATCTATATTTCAAGTACAAAAATGAGAACTAAATAATAAAAAATTAAAATATTACAAAAGGATTCCTGAGCTTAACTACTATTAATATTTATTCGTGTAAATAAATTTTTCGATTGACTCATCTATTGTAAATAAAAGAGTGTCCAAAGTGAAGCAACATATATTTACATAAATCAAAGGAAAGTGATTTTCATACACCCTATTTAGCTTCTCATGCATCTTTTTTAGTTAAATTCATCGGATTAAAGAACTCAAACGAAACCAATAATCAGAATTAAACAAGAGTGTGTAACAAGCTAAAAAAAGTGTTTGAAAATCACTTTCCCAAACCAAAAATGCAAAGTGACAAAGAATTTTCCACCCTCGTTTAAATATCATTGTATAAACAAAGACCAAAAAATCAAATTGTTCAACATCGAAATTCGAAAAATATAACCATGAGGCAAAACCGAGCAAGGGCAAGAGCCCAAACAAAGCACAACGGCAAAGGGACTAACATGCATTGCTTCCTCAGTTAAAGTATAAAGTAGATCTAAATTAATCAACTGATCTATCCATTATATTAATTTTAATCATCACTATTAATCTCATCAAGAATCACAATAAGCGCGACAATGAAAGCGTAGTCAATCCCGGGATACACTGTCACCATGAAATTGTCCTTGCCAATCAACATGCTTGCAACTGTTCGCTTCTTATGCATCTGCAATTTTCCCCACAGGGTATCATATCCCAGTCAGTACTTGTGGAGAAATTAATATTAAGTAATTAAAGAAACAAGCTAAGGCGTAAGATTGTTTAATTGTGTTAATTAATGATATATCAGCTGAATAAAATCAATGAAATCTTACTTGGGCAATGATTGTGGAGGAGTTCCCAGCATATATGGTACAAGATCGTTCAAACCAACTTCCCTTGACTCTGAAGTCCGGTGCATTCTCTGCTGTGTTTTGTGCTAAGAAAACATCCAGTTTGGTATTAAATTGCAGCAGTGAAGATCTCTTGGCACTAAAAATCAGATCCCTTGAGTCTTTGCTATCCCCCCGGAAAACTTGCCATCTTTCATGTGCACTCATCAACTAGACATATAAAATGTACAAATAAGTTATTTAATTACAAATTTACAACAGAAGTATACTTGTAAAAATGTTCTCTTCCTAGACTATATGGGAAGTAAATCAATTAGATTATATTGGAAAATTGGATAAAATGATGAAAATACAATTCTTCATTGTTGAAATGATTGCTTTGTGGGTTTTATCTCGTTAGTATATTATCGATATGTGATCTATATATGATTTTTCTCATTTCCCCAATTGATGATTTGTTCAACCAATCTTTCGTACAGATTTAAGTTAATTCTTATCTAACAACGTTATCTATAAATTTAATTCTATTTTTGTTAGAATATGTGATTCAGATTGACGATATATCAACATTACTTGATAAAATTCAACGTTTGCAAACAAGGGATTGAAGCGAGTACAAGGCTAGCAAGAGCTACAACATTAACTGATATGCATGATCTGTTTTATATGTATATTAATCAAGATATTCTTATTACCTTCTTTCTTAGGGTGACAATAGGATATCCGGCAGTATCGAGCAAGACTCGACGATCATGACGGCTCCATCGAACTCCCTTCACTTTAAAGATGATCTTATCATTGATATCTGTGACTACAAAGTTTCCATCTGTTATGGTAAGAACTTTTCTGACAATTGCAATATCCACAGGGTGAGGACTGCAGAAATGAGGGCTGATGATCGCAACGGCGGGATTAGCATACGCTATTGGCGCCGGATTCACAGACGACGTTGGCCCCGGATTGGCATACGCTGTCGGCGCCGGATTGGCGTATGCTAACGGTGGCGCGCTAGGTTCTGCTTGTTTCATGATGATCAGAGAAATGTTAGATGTTGATGAACACTTTTTTTTTTTTTTTTGGAAACACAAACTTGGTTATCTGTGGGTGTGTGTATATAAATATAGGTCACCTATATTGACCGTTGTCAATTAAAAAAAAAAATATATATATATATATATATATTGTAAAATTTTATTAAAATTGAAGATGTTTAATTATCTAACTGTAATCACATACATATATACACAAATATAACGTTGTCAATAAACCATAAAATGTTCACAATAATAATTAAAGTATTCAAGTCACTTAGTACTATGGTCTAATAATATTTATCTCTACTTGTAAGTGAGTTATCTTATGTTCGATTCTCGTTAAAGATGGATTTAAACCATATTATTGCTAGTAGCGAGGCTTAGTATATTCTCGCATTTCCTTATTGTAGATAATATCGTTTGTTCAAAAAAAATATTAAAAGGTTAAATAATTTTCTATTTAAATGAACATTTGCAAATATTATCTATTAATCATGACCTAAAAAATGAATTGTTCAGGATCATGAGCTTACTTTCAAAAGAAGCTGAAATAAATAATTAATATCATATTAAATTACTAACTAATTAATGCAAGCATGAGCGCTCATGTATTATATATATAAACATAAATTGATACATGGAAATAAAACATATAACTTATACGCGTCATTTTTTTTGTTCAAATTTGAGCAAGCATTTTAGAGGATGGGAAATCCAATGTTTTGCTTCCGTCCTCGTGTATAAAGTCAAAATCCAGAGCATATTACAAGTTAAATGAACATCAGGATATCAAAGTTGAAAGTTTGAAGCTAGAAGCTTCCTCATTATATAATATAATATAATATATAATATATAATATAATAAACATGAAAAAGTCAATAGAATAAAAGTGGTTCTATTCAACACGCGGTGCGCATGTTATCATTAGACCAAGTCATGGTATGCCGTGGTATGCAACATGCATCGTATCTTAAAATATTAATAGCCAACAAGCGTGTAGAAATTCGATATTTGAAACTGAAAGAGAAATGCGAAGAGGATTTTCTCAAAAGGAGATTTTTCATGTATTTTCAATCATTTTACAATGTAACGTTAATTTTCGTACCATCATTATAATACGTTGTGTTAAAAACTTAAAGTGATAAAGAACTAATAGAGAATTTCACTTTTTAGAGAATTCTCTTAACATTTTTGAAAATAGTAATTTTTTTTTTAATCGAAAGGTCATTAAAAGAGAGTTTCTTCAACACATGATAGTTACGAAATTGTAATAATTAGTTGATCTAACACATCACCTCGGACACAGTTGGTTGATCGACAATAACCTTCCTCAAAACCGTAAATTGATCGGCGCTCACGGTTGATTGGTCGTTAAAAGACCTCAGTTGCATTGAAATTATGCACGAAAAAAAAACCGTAAAATCATAAATCGAACCAAACCAAACCGAACAAACCGACCCGTTTGGTTACTTTTCTGACCAAAGTTGTTTGACGTAATAGGCCTAATAAAACACAAACAAGGTAATGACTTATGACCCAAAAAAAAACATATGGGCCGTTTCCAGCCCGTTAACATGCCCAAAATACTACATGTCGTTTTTATCGTCTTGGTCATTAGCTTTCGAACTGCACAGCAGAGTTGCAAGAAGTTGCAGAAACCAAAGAATACCAACGAGTATTTCCAACCTGAAACAAACAGATGACCGCAAACAATTCGAACTCGAAATCGAATCAAGAATGGTGAGAGCCTCTGCACTAAAACCCAGCAGCAAATTCTTCCTGAGAAAGCACAGGAAATGGCCAGTGTCGCCCTACAACACCAGGTGGCACCAAATCTTCAACCAAAACCAAGCCTTCCAGAGCCTCAAAAAATCATTGCCGCCGCCGGAAAACCAGCCGCACCTCCTTCTTCCGACGCTCGTTTACTCCTTCAACACCTACAACGTCGACCCAACTCCGGAAGCCTACCACTTTGTCCTCAAAACTCTCACCAAAACCTCCCAATTCGACAGCATCGCTCCGGTTCTCCGCCGCCTCGAAACCGTCGAAAAGTTCGACACGCCGGAGCATATTTTTGCCCATCTGATTGGTTTTTATGGTCGTTGGAACAGAACCCAGGATGCCATTGATCTGTTTTACAGGATTCCCAGGTTCAGGTGTGTCCCTTCTGCTCACTCTCTCAATGCATTGCTGTATGTGCTTTGTGGGTCCTGTGAAGGTCTTAAATTGGTGCCTGAGATTTTGCTCAGGAGCCATGTAATGGGCATCCGGCTCGAAGAATCGAGCTTTCGGGTTTTAATCAATGCACTGTGTGGAATTGGGAAGGTTGGATATGCTATTGACATTATGAATTGTATGATGAATAATGGGTATGGTTTGAATGTGAAGATTTGCTCTTTGATATTGTCATCAATGTGTGAACAGAAGGATTCAGAGGGTGTTGATGTTATGGGTTTTTGGGAGAAATGCAGAAGCTTGGGTTTTGTCCTGGGATGATGGACTATTCCAATGTGATTAGGTTTATGGTGAAGCAGGGCGGGGTTTGCATGCTTTAAATGTGTTGATTAAGATGAAAGGGGAAGGAATTAAGCCTGACGTTATTTGTTATACCATGGTCTTACATGGCGTTATCACGGAAGGGGATTTCAAGAAGGCGGATCAGGTTTTTGATGAGTTGCTTGTGTTGGGTTTGGTTCCTGATGTATATACTTACAATGTATATATAAATGGTTTGTGTAAGCAGAATAAAGTTGAATCGGGATTGATGATGATTTCTTCTATGGACGAGTTGGGTTGCAAGCCTAATTTGATTACTTACAACATCTTGCTGAAGGCCCTGTGTAACAATGGGGAGCTTAGGAGGGCGAGAGAGCTTATGCGTGAGATGACTTTAAACGGTGTTGGGGTAAACTTGCAGACGCATAGGATTATGCTGGATGGTCTGTTTGGCAAAGGAAACATTGAGGAAGCTTGTGTTTTTATGGACGAAATGTTAGATAAGGTTCTTGTTCGTTTTTGTTCCTCTTTCGATGAGGTGATCTATGGGTTGTGCCAAAGGGGTTTGGTTTGTAAAGCAATGGAATTGCTGAAGAAAATGGTTGACAAGAACGTTGCGCCTGGAGCAAAGGCTTGGGAAGCACTGCTCCTTAGCTCAGGATCTGAACCCAGCTTAGAAGAGACTACTTGGACGGGTTTGGTGGAGCCAATGGTATCACTTCCATAGGTGATGGATCACCAGTTAACAGTGCATCTGATGTTTATGCTTACCATGCGTATTCAAATGGTTTGTGCAAGCAGAACAATATGGAGGCAGGATTAAACATGATTTCGTGTATAAGAGCTGGGGTGCAAGCCTTATTCGATTACTTACAACATCTTCTTAAAGGCATTATGGAAAAACGGGGAGCTTACTAGAGCAACAAGCGAGATGACGTTAAAAGGGTCTCGGAGTTAACTTGCAGACTTATAGGATTATGTTGGATGGTTCGTCTGGCAAAGGAGACGTTGATGAAGCTTGTGTCTTTATGGAAGAAATGTTATATAAGGTTCTCGTTCATTTTTGTTCCTCATTCAGTGAGGTAATTTACTGGTTGTGCCAAAGGGGTTTGGTTTGTAAAGCAATGGAATTGCTCAAGAAAATGGTTGACAAGAACGTTGCGTCAAGACCAAAGGCTAGGGAAGCACTGCTCCGAACCCGGTTTAGAAGAGACTACTTGGACTGGTTTGGTGGAGCCAGTTATAGCACCAACAGATAACCAGTAAACTGTGCATCTCTTTGTCATACATGTACCATTAGTTGTTTGTGCCGTATGGAATCCACAGCGACAGTTGATTGACTTCACCTGCACAGTGCAAAGCTGAAGCATAAGTTAGCTGCATGCATCCATGTGCATCAGATTCCTTTACTTCTAACATTTTGCTGAAGATGGGCAATTGAGCCTGACTCGTTGTGCTGTCCTAGTGCCGGCCTTTTGTCTCTATGTCCCAAAATGTTGGCATAAAACTGTATGTACATTCATACCAACCTAGATTCTTCTGTTTTACTTGCTAGCCTATGGTGGTGTTACTCTTGTTCTTGGTTTGTTCTTAAACCAAACCATTCAGTGAAATTTTTCTTGAGGACCGTTCGATACCAGCATATACCTGACCATTATCAACGGTCCTCGATCACTCAATTTAAGCGTTTCGATTGTTGAGATTTTTTGGGCCAAAATTAAGCCACAGTATCACTCATGTGGAACCAAAACCTAGTCACCGACTTCCCTTTAATTCAATAATGTGACATTTGAAGTACATAAACTTTTGAGGGAAAAAAGACAAAAGCGCTCTGTTCATTTGCTCACTTCAATCTTATCTTGTTTTATGTGGGAAAAATAGCAGTCATTCACTTAGAACGTGAAAAAAAGGCGACTTCAAGTCAATAAGGTTCTTCATTGTGCAAGAGTTGAGGGAAAGAATGTCTGTCATATGCAGGCTTACTGTTATTTTATAAAGAGATTATTTTCACAACTCAAGCTCGTAACCTTTTGGTCATAAAAAAAAACATTTCCATAGCGTCAAAGCTCACTCTCATTTCCTTAAAAATAAAAACCAACAAATAAAAGTAAAAAAGAAACAAATTTGCTGGCTTTTAACCTTTGTCCAGTGAAATCATTGAGGCATCCAAGGATGGCTGTTTGTCGCCTTTCCAAAAGATTGCCGGTGTGAAAAGGGCTTCTTCTATGCAGGAAGAACTAAATAATCAGCTGTCACACTCACGTTATCTAAATTAATTTGAATTTAATGAGCTATCAAACCTCTAAAGAGAATTTAATTACGCATATAAAAAGTTGAATAGAAACATATCAAGAAGCTATGGATGTATTTGAGTTGCAAATTGTTGTCAGTCAGACGTCGATGATGAGAAGGAGTGGAGACAGATGTGGTGGTGGTGTTTCCTTGGCGATGGTACCAAGTTTCCAATTCAAGGTCAAGGAGGTCACATTCACCCATTACTATTCTTCCCACAAAACCATGCGGTAGGGTAGTACAAGTTTGGTAAAGCGTCTCGTTGTGTCGTGGTTACGACGAAGCATTGAGATGTAAACTTGTTGCCGATCAATAAAGTTCCAATTTTGCAGTTTGTTTTTTGTTCCTCGTTTTCATTTATGTTTCAAGTGTTTTGTTCTAGTTGTAATGTACGGCTGGGATTAAAACATCTTAAGGACTTGTATTTGATCAGCTGTCATAATAGCGGTGTAGAGACCACGTGAGTCTGTCGTGAATCTCCAATGGTCATGTTGATTTTATCCTTCGTTTTTGGGTCCAATGTGTAATGTTGAACGTGCGAGTGGAATGGAGCTATGAACTCCACCTTTCTTCTTCCTAAAGCTCAGATAACTTAAACAAGAAACTAAATAAAATTCAGGAAAATACAATCCAATTCTGTTAACAAGCACTAACATGGCCTCAGAGCTTGGTTCAGTATGAATCAATGTATTAAAAGCCGAAAGCATAGGTGAGGCGTCCCATGAATAGTCCCACCCAAACGTAAGGCAAAGCCTCACGGTACCTAAAATTTTAATATATATTACATATATAATTATGTTTTATAGATATAATATTTTGTAAAACAAATATAATTATAACTAAATCAAAGATAATATCATCTTCTTCATTACTAAGTCTAGTTGTACTTAGAAACTATGTCATAAAGTCTTAAAGGTACCGTTTGGTACGTGGGATGGGACGGAACAGAGTGGGACAAGGCGTTCCGTCCCACGTTTGGTGCGCCTAAAACGGGTGGAACGAGCTGTTCCACGGGACGAGTTTTGGGTGAATTTTCGTTCCACCTCACCCCCTGGAATGACTCGTTCCACATCCGTGGAACACAAAATTATAACCTCTCCGTCTCCTTCTTCTTCCTCCTTGTTTCCATCCGAGGGCATCTTTGCTCCCGCTCCGTTCCGTTCTGTCCTGTCCTGTCCCGTCCCGTCCTATTTCGTTCCGTTCCGTCCCGTCCCGTCTGCATACCAAACGATACCAAAATGTTGTAATTATTTATTTTGTTGTAAGCAATTATAGAGAACTTTAAGAGAAATAAGGGTGAGTGGCCAAAATTATAGGGAATTTCAAGAAAAATAAAGGTTGAATGTCACAATTATAGGGAAATTCAAAAAGAAATAAAGGTTGAGCGGAGAAATTATAGGGAAATTAAACGAAATAAAGCCTGAGTGGGGAAATTATAGGGAATTTAAAAGAAAATAAAGGCTTAGTGGAGCAATTATTATAGGGAATTTAAAGGAAAATCAAGGAAGAGCTAGAGTTGGAGTTAAGACTTTGTCATTTGGAGAGAGAAACTCTCTCTTTCTTCTTCATTTAAACTAGAACAGTCTCCTGCATTTTAGAAACATACATGAATTTTGTAGGGAAGAAAAGGCCCAAGTTGAACGCCTAGGCACACCTCAGCCGCCTAGGCGCGCCTCGACGCCACCCTACGCCCACCCCCACAAAACAGAGGCGAAAATCCAACCGCCTAGGGAAGCCCAGAGGCGAGTTTTTTAAAACACTGGTATGAATCAAGGGGTATCAATTGTGACTGGTTTTCTAGGTTTTCAATGAAGAACTTAGACAACTCGTAACTGTGTGGTTGTATCTGGAGCTGATCTTCAAGCTCCAATGTTCACCGGAGTGAACTACGAATTCTAATGTATCAAAATGAAGACAATCTTCAAGTCGCATAACCTCTGGAAGTTCGTTGAAGAGGTACATGAACTTCCTTCAGTTTCAGTTGAAGAACTCACTGAAAGGTTACAAATCGTTGCTCATGATCTGATTGCTTCTGATGCTAGACTTTGGGGTGATACAAATTGCAGTCTCTGATGAGATCTTTCCATGAATTGCAAACCAAAAGATGACCATGGCAGTTTGGGATACTTTGAAACAGGAGTACAGAGGTGGCTCACATGGCTGAGCTATGAAACTTCAAGGTATTTGACGAGACTTTCAATATGCTCGTATGAAGAATGATGAATCATTATCTGCTTATTTGACTGGGCTATTTGGTTTAATTAATCAAATGAAGAGATGAAGAACTGTCAAATAAGAGAATTGTTGAAAAGTTGTTGGTTAGTCTTACTCCTACATTTGAAAATATTATGTTTGTGATTGAAAGAACTAAGAATTTGAGCAAGATTGATCCCACTGAGGTGGTTGCTATGCTCGAGGCATTTGAACAATGGCAAACTAGACATGTTGAGGATGAAGATGTAACTGACAAAGCATTTGGTAGCCTTAGTATGCAGCCTAGAAATAGCTCACAGGCTAGTAATGCAAAGAATAAGAAGTTTTGGAAGAATAAGGAGAAAAAAGAGTTTGTGAAACCAAGAGAGAAATTTGGAGCAGTTGAGAAATATAATGGCAATAAGGAGAATGCAAAAAAGGGTTGTAAAACTTGTGGAAACTACACTATGATGAATGTTGGCTTAAGGGAGAAATTTGGAGCAGTTGTGAAATATAATGGCAATAAGGAGAATGCGAAAAAAAGTTGAAACACTTGTGGAAACTACATTATGATGAATGCTGGTTCAAGGGGAAACCAAAGTGCCATTAGTGTAACAAATTTGGTCACATTGCCAAGGATTGCAGAAGTAAGGTGGTTCAATAGGTTCACTATGCTAACCAAGTTGAGGAGGAAACTTCATTGTTCTTTGCATGTAATTCAACAATTATGGTCAAAGATGAGCATGTGTGGTTTATTGATAGTGGTTGTAGTAACCACATGACCTCGCACGAGTCACCGCTTATAAATATGAGGACATGACTATAACTACAAGATTAAAATGGAAAATGGACAGAATGTTCAAGCCACATGGAAAGGTACTCTAGTGATTAAGACCAAAATGGAACAAGATATATTAGAGATGATGTTGATTTATGGTTTAGATGAATATGTTGGGTGTCAAATGATCCAACATGGATAATTCTTGTTGTTTGGAAATGGTATGGTGGCAATCTTTTAAGATAGGCAACTTGAATATCATGTGGCCACAGTACACATGACATGAAATACATGATTTCTTTTACTCATGGAAGACATGAATCCAGTGGCTAGAAAAGTTGTGATATAAGAGAATGCATGAGATTGGCATAGGAGAATGGGACATTTGAATTTTCCAAGTATGCAATTACTTGAAGAGAATGAAATGGTGTATGGGTTACTAAAACTGAAAGTAAGTGGTGGAATAAGTGCATGATGTGTTGCAAGAAAACAACAGAGAGACTTTTAGTAGAGAACAAGTATGGACAGCTTTACAACCTTTGGAATTGATACATTCTGATGTGTGCGGACCTGCAGGTGACTACAATGGGAGGCAATAAATATTTTCTCACATTCATAGATGCTAATACTGAAATGTGTTGAATTCATATCTTGACCTGCAAGTCAGAAGTGTTTGGAATGTTCAAGAGGTTAAAAGTTATGGTAGAATTGCAGTATGGTTATTCAATCAAGAAACTGAGAAGTGATACAAGAAGATGGTACACTTCAATTGAATTTCTAAAATCCTGTGAAGAGTGAAGACATAGGTCTTGAAAGGCAATTGACTATCGTCTACTCTCCATATTAGAATAGAGTAGCAAAAATGAATAGCAGAACTATTGTTGAGATGACAAAGAGTACGTTACATGAGAAGAAGTTGTCTTGCTATCTTTAGGGGTAAAGTTGTCAACACAACTGTCTATTTGCTCATAAAATGTCCTACAAAGGGAGTAATTGAGATGACAAAGAGTATGTTACATGAGAAGAAGTTGTCTCACTATCTTTTTTGGATGTGTATGTTACAGTCACATTCATGAACAATTGAAACACAAGTTGGATAAAGCTTCAATCAAGAGGATCTTTGTTGGTTATGGAAAGGGAAAAAAAACGCTATAAAGTGTTATTCTTGACACAAAGAAGATTATACTTTCTAGATGTGTGTTGCTTGATGAAAATGAAAATTGGAATTACACAGCTAAAAATGAAGTAACAAAGTCAATACTAATGAACTTGCAGTTAAATGAGAATTTTAGTGAACCTAAAAATGTTGAGGTGAATGTGACAGCAGAATTACCACAATTAGATGGGAGCAATTCTCAAAAGGGAATGTTTCAAGATTCTGTGACAGAGATTGGAGAACTAAGTATTGCAAGCATTACTTCTGTGAAATTAGAACCACTAGTAATGTGTATGCTAGACGCAATCTTAGCATAATTGAACCTAAGAAATATGAAAAGGCTACTTCTGATCATGCTTGGAAGAAAGCTATGGATGTAGAAATTGAGATGATTGTGAAGAATCAAACATGGAGTTGGTTGACAGACCAACAGATAAACAAATTTATTGGTGTCAAATGGGGTTTCAAGACTAAATTGAACCTAGATGACACTATACAAAATCACAAGGCAAGATTGGTTACTAAGGGGTACTCTTAGAAGCCTAGAGTAGACTACAATGAAACATTTGTTCTAGTTGCAAGATTGGACACCATAAAAAATTTCATTACACTTGCTGCTCAGAAAAGTTGAAACTACATCAAATTGATGTGAAGTCAGCTTTCTTAAATGAAGTATTGAATGATAAAGTATATGTGGATCAACTTGAGGGTTGTAGTGTTCCAGGTTCTGAAGATAAAGTATATAAGCTCAGAAAAGCTCCATATGGACTAAAAAAAGCTCAAAAGCTTGGTACAAGGAAATCAACTATTATATGCTTGAATATGGTTTTCAAAGAAGTCCCAATGAAGCTACATTGTATATCAAGACCAGAAAAGGGAGAATCATTCATTGTCTCTATTTATGTTCATGGTCTTGTACACTGGTAATAGAATAACATTGATCAATGAATATCAAACATGGTTCATTGTCTCTCTTTGCATTTTAAATCACAGTGTTGCCCAATATATTATCGTCTTAACATTTCATATACTCATGCATTAGATAAAAAAAAAATGATATCTATGTTAAAATTACATGGACTACTTTATCATGGTTTAAGAAGGCAACCACAAATCATAGTATCTACATGTTCCTAAAATTATCTAAAACACTAAAACAAAACCCTCACTTCCCACTACAAGTTTAAGATACGTGAGCCCATACAAACCTATTCACCATTCACCAATACCCTTGGTGCTATAAATCCTAAATAAATAAAATGGCTACTAACCAAAGCATCCTGTGAACAAATTAAGAAATTCAAATAAAATTAAACACCGAGAAACAATAAAAAAAAAAAAAAAAAAAACACACAAAAAGATCTGCTTGAATTGTCATGGAAATCAAGATACTAATAAATATAAAGGTATGTTTGAATTGTTAATCAAATGAAAAATAAATAAATAAGAAATAGGGTATGTGATAGATAGTGATCTATCTTCCTTCTATATTTTTACCAAACATTGATTATGTCTGATAATGATATGTGATTGCCCTGGATTAGTCTTTCCATCCTTTTCAAGCCATGGATGATTGCTTCTGCTGTATTACCAAGAATATGGAGGCTGTGCAGATAGTGGCCAATCGAGTTCCAAGCCATGTTGTTGAAGCGGTTTACAGGATTGATCTGCCCAAACCCAAATCCTATGAAATCGACAACGAAGAAACAGATATTCTCCGATCACTAAATAAAGATTCAAACCAAAACTGAGAAATTTATCAAAAAATTCACTAAATTGATTCGAGAAAGTGCGAAAATAATCAAACCTGATCTTCTGCAATCGTCCAAGTAGAGAAAATTTGGACTTCCCGTGGTGAATTTCTGGCAAAATTTTTTATGGGTGAAGGCTGATGGCGATTTCTTTGGCTCGAGAAAGTTGGGTTAGAACATCTTAAGAGCTTTTTATTAGCTAAGTTTTAGTATATGTATAATGTAGCTAGGATTAGAACATCTTAAGAGCTTTTATTAGCTAGCAATTACAGCAGCTCTGTAGAGTAAGTGATGCATGTGCAAAGCATGTGAGTCTGTTTTTTAGAGAGTGACTCGTGTGGAGCCTGTGAATCCCCAACGATTATGTTGATTTTTTCTTTATTTCCGGATCCAGTATGTACCGTTGGATGTATGAATGAAATTGAGCCATGAACTCCACCTTTCTTCTTCATCAAACTTAGATAGCTTAAACAATTGTCTTCTTCCAAAATTGAATAAAATCCAAAGAAATACAATTTAATTCATTTAACAAACACTAACACAAAGAGGGACCTACCTGCAACAAAGATATAATAGCCCTTATGTATCTTTCTCACTCCGCATTATCTTTAATCATGTGCAAAGTGAGAAAGACACATAAAGGGATACCACAAAAGGGTCTATCCGCACTGTAAGCAAGTCTTTATCGTGATTAAGACGCAGAAAAAGCTATATTCATGTTGCTGGCAAGTCCCTCTTTGTCATTAGGACACAAAAGTTATTGCCATTGCAAGCAAGTCCCTCTACGAAAGTTACATCACTGTTGCAAGCAAGTCCCTCAAATAATGTTGATTTACCTCAGTATCCGCACAAGAATAACAACAGAAGCAATATGAAGGATTCCAGAAATTAAAGAAAAAAAAGGTTAGATTAGTGAGAAAGTGAAAATAGTTAGTTCTAGTAATCACAGTTAAATTGTCCAACCATATGATTGTTATAAAAACGATGTTCATAGCAACTATGGTAAGACCTTGACGGGGTTTACTTGCTTTTCATAAGCATTTTTTACTTCCAGAATTGGAAAACTTCCCTCCTCATACTAGGGGGGCAATTGAAAGCCTAAAAAGCAATTGCCCTTTTGTCTATAGCACTTTGGATGATTATATATATACATACATACATATATACATATATATATATAGTGGGAGTGGTCAGCCGATTTATGGACAAGCCTAGATCATCTCACTTAGAAGCTTACTTCAGAGGGAACGAATGAGAGATAGGAAGCTCCGACCCAATGAGGGGCCCAGGAAACCCACCTCTTCTTCAATGGGATGAGAAGCGCATCAGAATGAGTGTATATATGTGTGTGTGTATATATATATATGTATATGTATGTGTGTGTGTATATAACAGTGTTTATCAGAATGAGTATATAATATTAGATTACTTACTGGATTATTTGAAGTTTTAGTTTCTTTAGTATTAGGTATCTAACAAGTTGGTAATCCTTCAAAAAATAAAGAAAAAGGGGGGAATTATTGGCCTTCATGGTTGCTTATGTCCTTAATTAATTATAAAAATATGGTTGTTGCAGTAATCTTACGATCATAATAAAATGGTAATTAACCCAGATAGCATTCTTCTTCGTACAGTGATTACCAATTTATCATCTGCATACGATCATAATAAAATGGTAATTAACCCAGATAGCATTCTTCTTCGTACAGTGATTACCAATTTATCATCTGCATACTAACTACAGACCAAAAGAAATCTAGATCATAGAGAGAGAGAGAGAGAGAGAGAGAGAGAGCAATTGGAAACAAAAACAAAAATTAAAAAAGTACTGAAATTAAAGTTCAATATAATTTGCTATGAATTTTGTTGAAAATAATTGTAGCACTATTTCAAACCTATGAACACTGCACAGAACACATTAAGTTTTCTTGATCTCTTTTTCCTTACAGTTAATAATCTTAGTTAGCATTGCAATTTCTTTAGCCAATTTGGAAATGCAAAAATATCAAGCTAAGTGTTTATTTTTTATCTAGTCTAACTGACTAACTATATACAGACACGCGCGCGCGCGCGCGCGCACACACATATATATATATATATATTATACATATATAATTAAGAAAATTGCAGCGAAAACGATCACCTGAAGTGGAGCTAATTATTCAGCATTTTCTGAATACCTGAATTGGAATGTCCGCACTGTTATGATCTACGGTGACAATCTTCATAGAAGCAATAAGGTGGAGTGGTCATGATGGGGAAGAGGGGCACATGAACAACTAACTCATCACTGGATATGAGATATATATCTGTAAACTTGTAATAATTTAGCGGCTCAGAGAAAAATAAGAGTATTGAGTATATATATCTCAGTATATGCGAATGAGTTAGAAATGCACGTGCCCTGCTTCTCCATCTTGCTCAACTAACACCTAAATCATATATTCCAGAATTTCCTCAACACTCAACTGAGAGGACGACTCTAGGAGCTGGCCAGCTACTAGATAGAGCTACCCTTCTCACAAACAACCTCATTAGGTTAGAGAGAGAGAGAGAGAGAGAGAGAGAGAGAGAGAGAGAGAGAGAGAGAGAGAGAGAGGGAACTTCATCAAAACGGTGAATCTGATACATTCTTCTGCACTTCTCTGTCCAGCTAGTCCACTCATTTATAACAAAACGTGCAAATGATGTCTGTTAAAAGCAGTAATTATCTTTCGCATCTCTACTCCTAATAATAGTCATGACAATAGGCAATAAAATATTAGTATTTTTTATGTTCTAAAATAATAAAAATAATTTTATTTTTAATTTTGGATAGGATTTTTAACCGATCTCGTCACTTTCATAGGTCATTATCCGAAAGTACAATTTTTGTGGATATATTTCGATAAGATTTTTAACCACTTCTGTCGCGCAACGTATTCTTCCATGTTTAGAATTGTTGAAAATATTGAAATGTGGTGTAAGGTGGGAGAAAATGGTAAGGTATTTATAGAAAAAAATATATATAATTTTTTAAATTTTTTTTGAAATTTTTTCGAATTTTTAATTATTTTAAATTTTTTTATTAACTTAATTAAGCTGAACCGTCATATTACCAAAAAAAAATTGAAATCCAACAGTCCAGATTGTGACACGTGTCCTCCCCCCGAAATATTTCTTTTTTTTCATTTTTTTTAATTTTTAAAATTGAAAAAATCTGGACAGTTGATCTGGAAATCAAACGGTCCAGATTCAACTGCTACTTAGTGAGTAGCAACACGGGCCCCACAATCTGAAATCTTGTTGGTAACGTGGCCTCGACGCGCACATGTTATGCACATGCCTGGCGCAAAAAAAATTTATAACGTGGCTAACATCAGCCCTCTCAGGTGCTTAGGCCTTGAACTCTTGCCTACCCTCTCCCACGAGCTTCCCCTTAGCCCAATTGCCCAAATGGACTGGAGCTAGTTTGTGAGGAGATTGGATTGCAAATGGGGCCTGTCCACAGGACAAAAGAGCATGGTGGAAGTGCTCTAAAGGTGGGCATGTGGAGAAACATGAAAAATAATTGGCTCATTCTTTTCGATGTAAAGAGTCATTCTTACTTACATGTCAATCACAGTCTAATATATGCGTAAAGTACGTCTTTATGTTTTTATTATCGTAAAGCATATTTAATAAAATGACAAAAAATTCTAACAAATCATTTCTACATATGTATTAAATTGTGATTTGCACAAAGGAATGACTTCAAAAACAAAATTTAAGAAATAAAACAGGAGATTTTTTTTTTTTTTTTTTTTTTTTTTTTAACCGCAGGGCTTAGTTGGATGTAAGACCTCATGATGAATTACGGGTCCAAACAAATTGTGATACCTTGCAACAACAGAACCACATCACCACGATACCATGATATATCACTATTCGCCAGTGTCAGATACTACAATATTATTAGTGTATAAGCATTAACAATTAAAAAATGCTTAGCTACTCAAAGATGAGTAGGAATTTCTACTTAAAATTTTTTGTCAAAATCACAGAGTTTTATACTTATGATTATAACCATTCATATTATTAATGACTCTGTAAAGATCATCTCTAAAAAAAAAAAAAAAAAAAAAAAAGACTTAAAACTAAGGTCGTTTAGTTAATCTATTATAGCAAATACATAGACGGTTTATAATACTTTTACCAATTTCACTCATTTGTTTTTATATAGTTTAATGACTAAACGACATTGGTTTGAATTGAATTTTTGTAGAGACGATCGTTGTAGAGTGATATATAATATGAATGTTTTGATCATAAACATGAAATTGTATGAATCGGCAACGAACAATTTTAAGTAGAAACTCCTACTCATCCTTTAAGTATAGCCAAGTATTATTCTTAACAATTTGTCTACAAATTGTACGATCATATTATAGACACCTGAACTGTAGGAATATATACAATACATTTCCTTGGCAGTACCCATTACTATAACTAGAAGTCAATATTATACTATATTATTCTTAATTGGATTTTATATGTACTTTTGGAGATTTTTGACACCTTCTTTTTATGTTTTGACCGTAGTACATGCAGAATTTACTTTGTTTGAAAAATAACAAAACAATGAATTTTTCAAGTGATTTCAATTGCAGTTGATTCTTTACGTAGCGAAGACGATTGTATCAAAATCTCAACCTTTAATTCCAAGCTGTTTAGTCGTGATGATTGAAACAGCACAGGCGAACGGTCCTGACGAATTGACCTTTAAGGATTGCGTGAGCTATAAGTTATTGAAGAGGATGTTTTTGGGAGAAATTCCTTGCACAACATGGAAGAGGACTCCTTAATCTTTCCGATAACATCTTTATGGGTATATGCTGTCTTGGTTAGTCTACGAAAGGAATCTTCACTGATTTGATTTTGTGTCAGAATAGGATTGTATTTTTTAATATTATTTATTTGATTTTTTAGATTTATTACGAATCCCATTAGGTAGCATTTCAATTCACATTAGTATTATAGAGTTTTGTAACCTTAGAGGAGAGGACGTTTTTGGCTTTAGGAATTCGAATAGAGAAGTGCTTTTTCATTTTGCAGCTCTATACTACAAGGGTGTTATCTCTCTTTTCTTCTTAATATATTTTGATATTGAATTATAATTATGTCTAACTAATTCTTTCTTTGCTAGGACGAGATTATGAGCCTTAATATAAATATATAGTTTCTTTTCAATTTATTTATATGGTTATGCATGTTTGCTTTGAATTTTCAATCACTGATTTTAAACTATCGATATATCTTGATGTCTGATTTTCATTAGGATGTTTGGACAAGTAATTGGATACAATTTATGTTGAAAGGTCACACTTGGTTAATACTTTTTGTGGTTAGGAGTTGTAAATTCATTTAAAACGAATATCACGCTTTTAAGGATTACCTGGTTTTTCAAAAAGTTTAACTTGCATGTTATACCTTCCAATAGTGAGGCTGTATGTCAGATATATGTTCTTCCTTACAATTACGCTGAGTCTTCCAATGAGGCTGCCGTACTTAGCTACCAAGGTTTATCCATATGGGGACGTGGACATCAAGAATGAGGACTCTTGTTTTGAACTCAAAGTCAAGACATCGACTCAAGCAGTACCTAGTTTCGCCATATGACATTGTGAAGTAGTTATCCGAATCCTCGCCGGATCCTCTTTGTGTGGATTATGGGAATTCATTAATTTTGTTTGTTTATCATACATCATGCGGTCAGAAATTATTTTAAATATTTCTATTTAAAATTAAATACAAACAGTATTTGACAAAAAATGATTGCATAATGTACAATAAACGGACATAATTCATGGATTTTTAGGATCTCACCAAAAAGATCCGGAGAGGAACCTATTCGATGAAGTAGTTATCCACTCTAAGAGAACCATTGAGCTGCACTATTAACGTTAAATAAAGCGCCTTTGGAAGGCAACTCAAATTTTTCTAACCCTATTTCTTTTTATTTTGTTTATTTGATTTGATTTTCTTTGCTTTCATTCTTCATCACAAAATCACAAAAATTAAAAAAATAAAAAACACAAAAACAAATGTTTTTAGTTCATCCATTTTATTATATCTGTACATTATTCTAATCCCATTTTTTATTTTGTGTGATTTTTGCAGGATTGCATATCAAATCGGTCCTAAAATCCACTACTACCAGCGACATCAATTCATCAACATATGACTTTCAAAATCAATCAGCAACCTTTGCCTTTTGCCTGTGTGACCATTTTCTTAATGGCCGGGATGGTGACTGCTGTCCACAGAAACACTAATTTTCTTTAGTTTTAATTTTTTTAAAGAAAGATTTTGGAGTGCATATGCACAAAGGTCAGTCGCTTTCCAACCAGCTAAAAATCAATATCAGAGAAAAACTTTAAGTAAGAAAGTGCGTTTCTGTATCTCAGTCAATGCCATATCGTTGTTATTAATTCATTCAAAGTAGCTGTTGATATTATTTTGAAGATCATGCTATCTAGATATTGGTAGCTGCATTACTATAGAGTATATGTACCTGCCACACATATTGCTCCATATCAGCACCATTAAGAAAATTATTTGACAATTTGTTAAGTAACTAGACTACATGATTGATATTTTATAACTGAAAATATAACGAATAATATAAATAAATACATGTGAGTGAATTAATAACACTTGCACCTTTTGTGTTGCACAGAATGCCCCTTCACTTTCAACTTCAAACATGATAGAGGCTGCAGTGCATACATCACATGTATCTTGCCTTTCAGACAAACTACCTCCGGTCCACCACGTATCTAATTAGATTTCCATTTCTTGAATAATTATTTGTGTGTTGACAATAAAGGTAGAAGTAAATTGCATTCATCAAGAATATTATGAACAGAAAATGTTACACTCCTAAGACGGTGACCTGCCCTACGTACCGAGGCCTTCTCGAGGTCTTGTAACTTCAAGATCATAGTCCTCCTCGGAGCAGGCTGCTGCTTGCTACAGAACATGTAGTGTCTTATCCGTCTTCAACATCAGTCTCTTTGTACCAGTCTCAACTTCTGAAACAATTCTGATAGAACAATTAACTAGGATGGAGAAGATGATGCTGATGACTGCTGTCATTATTTTTTTTAATTTTTCATTTTTAATAGAGAGATATATATTTATATTAAGAGATTCAAAATATAAATTGGAATCAAACTTATTGTTCATATTTCTTTTTTGATTCATGAGATAAACTTCCCTCACATGGTTTGAGGTTCGTAAAAAGGAACGGTGATAATTCTTCTTTTACCCCTTGTTTTATTGGTCAATACCCTAATAAATTTCATAATACAACATTTTCTGATTCATCTGAATCCATCTCCCTTTAATTTCCTTTTTCCTTATTGTTAAAGGTGATTAGCAATGTTCTGACGATTAATTGTACTAATAGTCGATTTTACTAGACCCACTTCCCATCACGTTAGCTCCCAAGTCTCTTTCCAAGTGCACTTCCCTATGTGCAGCTGGTTTCATGTCTAGATGGTCCGCTTCTCATGTCCTTAAAATCACATGAAGGGAAATAGAGTTAACACGGTTTTTCCTTTTTAGGGATCAAGCTAAAAAACACTAGCTAGGTTAAGAGTTTAAAACCGTTTAGACTCGCTCAAACTTAGCTACAACGGGTTTTATCTTTATTTGTGTTTACTTTTCATTTGACGT